TAGGTAGATAGATAGAGTAGGTAAATAGATCATTATAGTACGTAGATAGACAGACAGTGTTACAGACAGACATGATAGATGGATGGATGAATGGATGGATGATATATAGATGATAGAGACAGATGATAGATAGGTAAGTAGATCATGATAGAAGTAGGTAGATAGACAGTTACAGACAGACATGATAGATGGATGGATGGATGGATGATATAGACATGATAGAGGTAGACAGGTAGGTAGATAGATAGATAGATGATATACAGATAGATGATAAATGGATAGATAGATGATAGAGACAGATAGAGGTGTGTGTGTGTGTGTGTGTGTGTGTGTGTGTGTGTGTGTGTGTGTAAATAACCACATTGCCCCTCCAGGAAACTGGCAAAATTGGCGGGGCAATGTGGTTATTTTTAAACGGCAGGAGAAAGAAATTAAGAATTTGGAGATGTGTACATGTCCCCGCTTCAGGTTAGGGTGAGCGGATGAGGGAATAAGACAAATTTCACGGATGTTTTTGGCAGCTATTTTACGTGCCCTTGTTTGAAATAGTGCGAGGAAGAACGAAGTAGAAAAATAAAAAGGAGACACAGAAGGCTTTAAAAGCTAAAATAATGCAGGGAGTCCTCGACATATGATCTCAGCTCAGCCCTGCTTTTCTGTTGCTAAGCAAGGCATTTGTGAAGCAAGTTGGGCCCCATTTTTACCATCTTTCTTCCTTGCCTATGGAAATCATGGCGGTTGTTAAGTCAGTCACGCGGTTGTTAAGCGAAACGGGGCTTCCCCATTTGACTTTGCATACCAGAAGGTCGCAAAAGGGGATCGCATGACTCCCAGGGGGAGACCGCGACCGTCGTAAATAGGAGTCAGTGGCCAAGGGTCCGAATTTTGATCACGTGAGGCTGCAACAGTCGTAATGGTGAAAAATGGACATAAACGGCACTTGTTTGTGTGCCGTTGTAACTTCAAGCGGTCACTAAATGAACTGTTGTGAATTGAGTGAAATGGGGCAGCGGGTTGGGCTAGAAGAATTCCAAGGTCTCCTTTCAAGGGTGTTTTAACTCAGAAAGATTGATAGGGACAAAGAAGATTTGAAAAAAGAAGCAATTAGTCTCCTATTATAGATAATCGCATACTTACATCCATCCATTTAGTGACTGTTCAATGTTACAATGGTACTGGGAAAAAATGACTTATATGACCATTTTTCACACTTAATGACCATTGCAGCAGGCCTACGGTCAGGAGATCAAATTCAGACACCTGGCAACTGACTCATATTTATGACGGTTATGGTATCCCGAGGTCTTGTGATCCCCTTTTGCAGCCTCTGGATGAGTCACAGTCAAAGGGGAAGCCAGATTCACTTAACAATGGTCTTACTCTCTTAGCAACGCAGGGATTCGCTTCCCAGTGATGGCAAGAAAGTTATAAAACGGGGCAAAACTCACTTAACAACTTAACAAATGGAAATTTTGGGCTGGATTATGGCTGTAAGTCAAGGACTGCCTGTATTTAACAACCTTTGATCCACAAAGGACAAATATATATGTGTGTGTGTGTGAGTGTATATATATGTGTGTGTGTGTATATGTGTGTATATATATATGTATATGTATGGGTATGGGTGTGTATATATATATATATATATATATATATATATATATATATATATATATAGCCTCCCTACAGTGACGTACAACATCTTTAGGATGTTTGCAAATGCCCCGGGATCACGTGATCTACATTTATGATCTACTCAGCGGGTTTCTGACCAGCAAAGTTAATGGGGAAAGCAAGATTCATTTAGTGACCGTGTGATTAACTCAAACACTGGTTTGATTCGCTTAACAGGCGAGGCAAATAAAACCGTTAAAATCAGGCAGGTTGGAGTTAAATGCCTTGCTTTACAATGGAAATTCTGGTTCCAACTGTGGCAGTTAAGTTGAGGACTTGCCCGTTTCCATTTCAACATCTTTAAAAAAAAAGTTCTTTTTTTTTCTTGCCAATCCATTTTAATCCATCGCTTCTGCTTGCAATTATAAAGGTCCTTGAGAGACCAGTATATTAGAAACCACTTATGTCCACTTTCTGGGAATTTCTGCAGCCTGATCAAATAAAAATCTTCCCTCCAATTAGTTATGTCAGTGACAGATAGCGGGGCTCTCCAGAAAACCCAGCCAACTGGAATTTTGAATATGCAGCCCTGTTTTGGTAATAACCCCTTCTTCTTAAAAGAGAAGAAAAAGATTTTAATCCACGTCTATAAATCAGAAGGAGAGGTTTAAATTTAATGAGCTGATTGTAGTTAGCTGGATTTTTATTGGTGTAATATCTAGATAATTGAAAGGAAGCAAGCTTTTGTGTACTTTTGGGTTCCAGGTTTGTAAAGTGGCTTTGAAAAATAAAGATTTGTTTTTCTATATAAAATGCTTGAGTAATTTTTAAAGTTTGTAAACTATTATCAAAAGTGAACTTTAAAGGATGTCTGCTAAGAGGAAGTTTTAAAAAAAAGCAAAGTTAAAAAAAGATGTATTAGAAATTGATTTTAGAAAGTTGGTTTTAAAATTTAGAAAAAGTGGTGTGTTTTTTTTTTCCTTTTAGGGTTAAACAATTTGAAAGAATGTAGTGAATTTTATTAATATAAATTATGAGAGTGTATAAAGATGAATGAGTAAACAAAAATATGTATTATTTCCCACAGCAAGGAAAAGCAGAGATTGTTAAGTCGATTCCTTTATCTAAAGAAGAGAATATATTTAATTTTGTTTCTCTTTGGAAATCACTTCTGGACTTTTTGCTTGTGATTAGGGGGAGGGGAGGAAATTTTGATTATTTTTGTTGTTGTTAATTAGATAGGTTTGTTGTTATAGAAATGGCTAGCATATACTATTGTATAAGGGTAAAAAAGTTAAACCAATCAAAATAGAGCTGGAAGGGACCTTGGAGGTCTTCTAGTCCAGCCCTCTGCTCATCCCTAGTCCATTTCAGACAAGTGACTGTCTTGTCTCTTCTTAAAAACCTCCAGTGATGAAGCCCTTACAACTTCTGGTGGTGAGCAGTTCCATTGGTTAATTGTCCTCCCTGTTAAGAAGTTTCTCCTTAATTCCAGGTTGCTTCTCTCCTTGATTGCGTTGTAATATTATTATGATGTTAAATATAATATCTTCTACGGTGCCAAAGACAGTTGGAAGCCATTGCCTCTCCTTTTTCCCTTTCTACCCAACATTTCCCCTTCTTTCCTTTCCCCTTCCCCTAGTTTTCCATTCATTGCAGGTAGTCCTTGACTTACGACCGCAATTGAGTCCAACGTTTATGCTGCTAAGCGAGACCTTTGTTTTGAACGAGTCCTACCCCAAGTTACGACTTTTCCCACCACATCGGTGAGGTGAATCCCAGCGGTTCTTTCAATTAGTCACACGGTCGTTAAGTGAATCCGGCTTGCCAGAAGGTCGCAAAAAAAGGAATCACGCGACCCCGGGAAACAGCGTGACCATCATAAATAGGAGTCGATTGTCCCGCGTCCGAATGTAAATCACGAGACCACGGGGACACGATGACGAGAGAGATGCGGCTAGAGACTTATGATTTGAATGGGGGTGGATTTGTCGGAGCCCTGACAATGGTCATTATGTGAAGTGTGGCAAGTTGAGGGCTACCTGGGCTTTTTATTTTCCTTTCTGTCTTATATTTTGAAAAATTAATTGATAAAATTCGAAAACCGGGAATAAAAATTAAGCTAGTACGAGACCCGGCTTTCTGGCTCGCGCACACAACTCACCCCTTTGGTTTTTTTTGTTTTTGCTTTTTTTTTTTAGAAAATAAATTTGTTTATTACGAAATTATAACATGAATGTTCCCACCTGACACTGATTTCGCCTGAATTCCCCTAGATTGTAGAACGATAGTCTGGAGATGCAGCATTTTCGCCCCCCTCGCTTTGGTGTCAGAAAGGAGGAGGGCGCCCCCCCAAAAAAAATCCATGGTTTTTTTTTTAGTCCTTCCGCGAGGGGCCTTCAAACACCACCGATGGAATTGAAGAGACTTGACGGTCACCCCAAGTGTGGGTTTGGCTCTGCTGTCAGGGCTTGGGAGATGCACTTTGAATGATAGAGGTCAATCCATGCTGGCAAGACTGGATAAGTATAGGATCCAGGAAGGAGGAAGGAATCTGGAACCGAGGGATTTGGGAGAGGGGAAAGATGAATGCATAGAATATTTTAGATAGGAATTTGGAGTGGGGGGGGGGGAGGAAGGAAACGTAAGAAACACAGCACCAATCATGTCAAAAATGAAAAGTAGACGGGACGAAAGGTAGTCGAGACAGCCAGGAGAGGGGGCGAAGGGGATACGAGCAATTGAAAAGAGGAAGACGACAAGACAAGGAAACAAGAATTAAGGGGACGGTGGACAGAGAAAGATGAGAACCCTGAATGATAAAGGAAAAAAAGGAGAAGAAAAGAGAAAAGAGAGAAGGAAAGGGATAGGAAAGGAAGGAAAGGAAAGGAAAGGGGAAAGGAAAGGAAGATAGAAAAAGGAAAGGAACGGAAGGAAAGGAAAAGAACGGTGAAGGGAAACAAAAGGGAGATAAAAAAAGGAAAGGAAAGGAAAAGAAGGGAAGGAAAAGAAAAGAAAGGAAAAATAAAGAAAGGAAAGGAAGATAGAAAAAGAAAAGAAAGGAAGGGAAGGAAATAAGGAGAAAGGAAAGAGGGGAACGGAAGGAAAGGATAGGATAGGAAAAATAAGGACAAGAAAACAAAAGAGAAAAAAAAGGAAAAGGATATACAGACATAAGAAAAACATTGGTGGTTGACAAACACAGCAAAACAAGAGGAGGTCAACAGGAAGGATTTGGGAATCCATGAGATGATGGAGCTTGTCATGGACAAATCCGAAACTGAGAACAAGGAAGCAGGTGGACAGAACAGAGAACGAGCAACTGAAAACAGAGGAAGGGGTTCGAGGTCCACGCTCTTCTATGGAGGCATCAGGCCCAGAAGGGCTCAGGTTGGAGGAGGACCCTCTGGTGCCCCGTACAGCTCAGCTAGCGTTCGGAAGAGGGGCCCCCATTCTTCCAGATACTCGTACCCACCGGTGTCGCTGTCCCCAGCACAGGAAGAGCCGGGGGAGCTGAGAGACCCGGCGGAGGAGCCCTGGCCTTCGTAGCCATACACCTGGATGGAGTCGTACGGAGGCATGGAAGGATCAGCATCCACCTCGCTCAAGCGGGCTGTCAGAAAACTGGCCACATCATGGGGTTGCGGTGGCACTCGGGTGGACAGGGATGGTGGGAAGTGTGGACGGGGCAGGACGTCCCGCCGGAGGAGGCGCCGTTGTTGTGAGGGCGCAGGGGCAGCATCCGGGTTCTGCAGGGCGGCCATGTCGAAGGCCTCAGTGTCTTCCTCTCCACCACCTTCGTCGTCGTAAGTGATGATGTTCTCACGGACATCTTCCTCTTCAAAGGGCAGCAACGCAGCCTGTTTCTGCCTCCGGAGGGCGACAAAGAGCAGCACCAGGGCTAGAGGCGAGCGGGAAGTTGATGCATTGGTGAAGTCGGATGGACCAATGGGAGGAGAAGGTGAGATATTAATCACGATAACAACCTATTGCAAATACCCTGTGTTGCTTCTTTCTATATGTAATGGTAGGTGGGGATGGCCTTGGGAGACAGAGAGAAGAGACGCAACTGAGGGAACAATTGGATAAAAGGTAGTTGTGCCTGCAGCTGTATAGTGGGCAGTCATCTCAGAAGACTCCCTAGTTTCATGGGCTGTCAAGGCGACAGGAAAGAAATGTACTTTCAGACTTATAAGATGATGTTGTGAGGTAAACCAGATAGGAAGTACAACAAACTAGCGAATTCTCCTTTATTGTAAGGTTATATTAACAGAGGGCAACAGTGACTCAGTGGTAAGATACTGGACTTGTTGGCTGGAAAGCCAGCAGCCCAGGTTCGAAACCCAACCTCCATGAGACTGAGTGAGTTCCCGTCCTCACCCCACCTTCTGCAACCCAGCAACTCGAGAGCACACAAATGCAAAATAGATAAATAGGTACCACTTTGTCGGGAAGGTAACAGTACTCCGCCATGTCATGCTGGCCACATGATGTCTTGAACAGCCCTGACTCAATGGTCTTGGAACGGAGATGTAAAACTGCCCCCAGTTGGCCACAACTAACGTAGTAAACTCCGCAGGGACTCTTTTATCTACTTTACCTAGAACACTGCAAGTCTGAAGAGACATTTCTCCCACCCTCTTGTCCCTTTTACAGCCCATGAAACTTGGGAGGGGACCCTCCTGAGATGCTTCCCTGGTCGGCATTCCTTCAGGAAACTCAGCTGCCTCTAATCTGCCTCTTGTCTAGTTTGCAGCTCTTCCTCCTGTTTCCCAGGGTCATTTGCACATACCGTTACACTGTTGTTCTGACCCAGCTCCCCACATACGACAAACCCCCTGAGGTAAATTCAAAAGATTCCTTTATTAGGAATGCCTGCAGCCTCTCAGAGGCTAACACGGCTGGAAGATGAATAGCTGTCTGCCACACCTACCCATCGCCCCCTGCCTTTTATCCCCAGAGCAAGAGTGGGGCTTCGCTAGCAGCAGTGGATTTTCTGTCCTAAGTACCGGCCCATAGATTTCCACTGCTCTCCTCTCCTCTGCCTTCTGTGCATCCATGCATCAGGCACTGGACCCAGCTGTTCCTCCTCTTCCTCATCAGCCAGTTCCAGACCTGGGGGCTGTTGACTCTCCATCTGAGGGCTGACGGATGGCCCAGGCTCCGCCTCTGTCTCTCTCTCTGTCAACTCCATTCCCTCTTCCCCCTCGGAGTTCCCAGGTTGCCCTGATGCTGACCCTGACTCCCACACCTTCTCCAATTCAGCTAGTGGAGGATCCAGCGGCCAACAGGCTACACCGTCCTGGAGAAACCCAGCCCAACTATCCAAACATTCCCCAAGTTTCAGTGACCTTTCTCGACATTGCAATGTTGATCCCTCACCTTATATTGTCGAGTCACTTCAAGTGTCTTATCTTCTACATGAGAAGTTCTCCATAGAGCCTTACTAGGATAAGTAGCCTCAAACTGGCTGAAAGTCCCACAGTACAGGTAGTCCTTGACTTACAACCTTTCATTTAGTGACCGCTCAAAGTGGCCACTTCACCGAAAAAAATGACTTCTGACTGCTTTTTCATGCGACCGTTGTGTCATCTGCATGGTCACGGGACCAGTATTCAGGCAATAGCAATAGCACTTAGACTTATACACCGCTTCACAGTGCTTTATAGCCCTCTCAGTGGTTTACAGAATCAGCCTATTGCCCTCAACAATCTGGGTCCTCGTTTTACCGATCCCGGAAGGATGGAAGCCTGAGTCAACCTTGAACTAGTGAGAATCGAACGGCTGAACTGCTGCCTGCCAGCAGTCAGTGGAAGTAGCCTGCAACACTGCACTCTAACCACTGTGCCACCACAGCTCTTGACAACTGGCATGTATTTATGAGAGTGGCACTGTCCTGGGGTCATGTGATCAGTTTTTGTAACCTTCCCACCTGTCTTCCGACAAGCAAAGTCAACAGGGGAAGTCAGATTCACTTAAAAACCACATGATTCAGTTAACAAGTGCTGCGATTTGTTCTGGCCCAGCTCTTCAAACACAACAAACCCTCTGCAGTGAACTCAAAAGATTCCTTTATTAGGAGTGCTAGCAGCCCCGGCAAAAAGTTTCTCTCTCAATGCAGGCTAATAAGTCCATCCAGCCGGAAGATCTGCTACATCTATTCATCTCCGTCCCCTACCTTTCAAAGCTAGATTTGGGCCTTGCTAGCAGCAGTGGCTGTTCCTTCCCCAGGACCGGCCCATAGATTTCCACTGCTCTCCTCTCCTCTGCCTTCTGTGTATCTGTGCATCAGGCACTGGGCCCAGCTGTTCCTCCTCTTCCACATCAGCCACCTCCAGACCTGGGGGCTGTTGACTCTCCATCTGAGGGCTGATGGATGGCCCAGACTCTGCCTCTGTCCTTCTCTCTCTGCTAGCTCCATTCCCTCTTCCCCCTCGGAGCTCCCAGGTTGCCTTAATGCTGACCCGGACTCCCATGCCTCCTCCTCCTCCCCTGATTTGGCTGTGAGAGGGTCTGGCGGCCAACAGGCCACAACACAACTTGTGGCAAAAAAGTTCGTAAAATAGAGCAAACTCACTTATAGTAACTGCCTAGCACAACAGTGGAAACTTTGGGCCCCATTGTGATCGTAAGTAAAGAGCCACCTGTACTGTCCTCCTTTCTCTGCCCACCCATGCCACGAGCATACAAACTCAAAGTCTCACCAAGTAGGGTACCAATGCAGGCGAGGATGGCCAGCAAAGCCCCGGTGCTGAGGCCAGTAGGAGATCCATGGGCCTCAGGACCACAAGTTTGCAAGGCCCCGTCTCGCCGACACCGGCAGATGCTGACTGTCAGAGTTGGGGAGCCCGTGCGAGTGGGGGAACCACCATCTACTAGTTCCAGGGGCACAAGCAGAAATCCACCTTGGGGAGGCAGGCGGGTAGCCCGGAGCAACAAGGAGGCCGAATTGTCTGGAGATGAGAAGATTTGAAAGAGAAAAGTGAGTGGAGGCCTGTTATATTTTTGAAATGTTTCCTTCTAGGTAGTAATAACCCAAGCCTTACATCAGGATTGTCAAACTCAAAGCCGAGAGGCCAGATCTGGCCTGCAGGGTACTTAGATCTGGCCCGCGTGGCTGCCCTGGAAATAGCGAAAGTCTGGCCCACGATGCCTCTGCCAGTGAAAATGGAGCTCGGGCCCTCCTGAGCTCCGTTTTCACTGGCAGAGGGTTGCAGGAGGCCGTCATAGCCAAAAACAGAGCTCGGGAACCCATTTTTGCTGGCAGGGTGCTTGGGACACCACGGGTGCTCCTGGCATGAGTGACATTGAGCCGGCTATGCCCTCCCCTGGCCATGCCCCCCCCCAAGGTCAAACACAACCCTGATGCAGCACTCAATGAAATTGAGTTTGACTTCCCTGCCTTACATTGTAGGTCTAAAACTATCTTAAAGGGGACATATAATGTTGATTGATACAGGGTTTTTTGTATAGATTTCTGAATGACAAGATCAGTGTTTCTCCACCTTGGAAACTTTAAGAAGTCCGGATTTCGACTCTCAGAATCCCCCAGACTGCATTGCCAATTCTGGGAGCCGAAATCCAGGACCTGTTAAAGTTGCTAAAATTGAGAAGGACCGCTATACATTCTGTACACCGCTCGTGACCTATTCTTGAAAATGTCTACTCTTCTTTTATCAACCGTGCAAGTTCATAGTCCATAAGGAACATTCTGAAAGGGAGGCAGATTCTTTTCTACATTTTAGGACAGGCGTCCGTGTCTCACCCTTGTTATCCCGCACAGTGACGTTTGGTTCTCTGATCCCGGACGGAGAGCGGATGATGATCCGGCTCGTGTTACCATCCTCATCTTGGTCGACCGCTCGGATCAACTGCACCAGCTGGAAAAAGAAAAAAAGAGGTGAAAATTCTTCTCAATCAGTGCCTTTCTCTCCCACCCACCCAGACCCATCAGTGTCCTAGGGACCCCTTACTTTACCTGGCCCGGGATGGCGTTATCACAGGCGAAAGGCTCGTAGCTCTGTTCCAGCAGGGGTGAGTTATCGTTGACATCCAGGATTTGAATGGCCACGTGAATCTGGGAACCTTGTGTGGGACTGTCTGAGAGTAAGAGCAACATGGAACCACACAGTGGGATTTGCAGGGGGATCCAGTCATAAAATGGGGTAGGCAGGAAGATAACACCAAGAACACCCGAACGAGTAAGTTGACCGATAACGGATACACCAACCAAATGGGACAAATGATTCAGCCATGCGAGAAAGCCATACAGGTCATCCATGGGGAGCCAATGCGATCCATGGTCCCAAATTCGGTAGGGTTGGGTTGGATCCCATTCATAACACCCCCGTCCCCCGCCCCAAAAGAGTCCATCGTTGTACCACCGAAAGAACCAGACAGGCAAGAATCACGTCAAGAGGTGGAAAGACGTGGGCAGACGTGTAGAGTTAAGGGGACGGAAACGAGCAACAGTGCATGATGAAGCACATTTGCACATGGGTGGGCAAACATAAATGTCCAACGTGACCAACAAGTGAAATAACAGGCCGCCGATATAAAGCCATCCAACCGACATAGGCAATCAATCAATCAATCACAGGGAAACACGCAGAAAGCGCAGCCCCACTCCACGATGTCGGAGTGCAAAAAATGCACCATTCCGCATGTTTGACACGCACGACAAAAACACCATTCCAAGAGAGCAGCAAACAGACACGGGGATGTAGAAAGGAAGAAGGAAAAGAAAGGGAGAAGAAAATTAATAAACAATTGTCGTTGCTTTTTTTAATTACAGATAAATCCTCAATGTACGACCACAATCAGGGCCAAAATTTCCATTGCTAAACAAGGCGGTTTTTCCAAACAAGTCCTGCCTGATTTTACCATCTTTTTTGCCACAACGATTAAGCAAATCGCTGCCCTTATTAAGTGAATCACATGGTCGTTAAGCAAATCCAGTTTCCCTCACTGATTTCACTTGTCAGAAGTCAGTAGGGAAGGTCACAAATGGGGATCACTTGACCTCAGGACACTACAACTGTCGTAAATACATGACCAGTTGCCAAGCACCGGAATTTTGATCATATGACAGAGGGGAATGCTGCAACAGTCATAAATCTGAGGACCGGTCGTAAGTCACTTATTTCAGTGCTGTTGCAATTTTGAGCAGTCATTAAACAAATGGTTGCAAGTGGAGAACTACAGGTAATCCTCAACTTATGACCATGTTTGAGCCCAAAATTTGTTTGTTTGTTAAGTGCGTTTTGCCTCATTTTACGACTTGTCTTCCTACATTTGTTAGGTGAATCGCTGCAGCGGTTAAAATAGTAACACGTTTGTGACGTGAATCTGGCTTCCCCATTGACTTTCTTTGTCAGAAGGTCGTAGAAAGGGAATCGCATTATCCCGGGACACTGCAACTGTCATAAATAGGAACCAAGCATATAAATTAGACGAACATGGAGATGCTGCAATGGTCATTAAGTATGAAAAATGCTCCTAAGTCACTTTTTTCAGTGCCATTGTAACTTCGGTCATTGAATGAACCTGTTGTATGCTTTATATCAGGGGTGTTAAACTGGATTTCTTTGAGGGCCGGATCAGCATTGCAGTTCTTCTCCATGGGCTGGGCAGGGAGAGGGTGGCCCACTCTGCCCCGTTTTCGGCCTGAACAGCCTCCTGCAGCACTTTACCAGCCCAAACTGCACACCTCATTTTTGACCTCCATGGCCTCCTGCAGCATTCTGCCAGCCGGAAACGGGCTGAAAATGAGCCTCCGCGGCCCAGGTGGGCCCCCCGCATGGCCCGTTTTAACTGGCAGAGACACTGCGAGTGGTTCTTTGATATTTCTAGGCTGGCATCGTGGGCCAGATTTAAACACCCCGTGGGCCAGATCCGGCCCACAGGACTTGAGTTTGACACCCTTGTTTTATATGTTTCATTCCAAACATATAGTTTTCGTATCTGTACTGTCCCGACGAATCAAAATACTACAAAATACTACCCTGTGCTTTCAGTGAAAAACTTCCACTATCTTGGAGCCTCCTGGACTCCCACCCACCATATCAAACGATCCACCCAGCCCTTACCAAGTTCCGTTGCCATTACGGTCATATTGTGCCAGGCCAAAACTTCTCGGTCGAGTGGCACCGAGGTCAGAATTGCGCCATCCTGCGGGTTGATGCTGAAATAGCGCTCAGGGTCCGTATGCTGCAGGATGGAGTATCTGGAAGATGGAGGGTGGGCACCTGGGGTATCAGGTTGTCACGGCAACGAGGTATAAATGGAGTAACTGAAACTTCACACACACACAAAGACAACAAACACCGGTTTCCCACCCTGCAGCATCGATGTTGTCCCCAGCCATTACCGGATGACACTGCTGGGCGTATCCAGGTCCACTGCCATGACTTTGCCCACCAGGGTCCCAGGTGGGCCATTCTCATAAACGGCCAGATGGTATTCAGGACGGGAGAAGACCGGAGGTTCATCAGCATCTTCTACCGTCACCCGGACAGTGGCCACGTCCTTGAAGGGGCCCTTCCGGATGTACTGAGGGTCGATCTGCGTGTTGGTGGCCTCGACTCGGAAGGTGTAAGAGTGGCGGGACTCGAAATCCAGAAGCTGCCCCGCCCATCCAAGCCGAGAGGAACGACAACGAGAGAAAAACTCATGATTGGAATTGAACAAAGAGCAGGCAGTTCAATGAGTGGGTGAAGGACGGGCAAACCACCAAAGAATGGTGGGTGAGGTGTCTAAGATCCTGTGTCATCCGACAAAAGAAAATGAAAGTCAGTTTGGTCTGGTGGTTAAAGCACCAAGTTAGAAAGCAGGAGACGGTGAGTTCTAGTCCTGTTTTAAGCATGAAAGATGGCTGGAGGACTTTGGGTCAATCACCAAGGGACAGTGAGTTCTAGTCCCACCTTGGGCATGAAAGCCAGCTGGGGGATTTTGTCCCATTCACTTTTTCCCAGCCCAACCCACCTCACAGGGTTGTGGGGAAAAGAGGTGGAGGAGACTCTGATGGCCATTTTCGCTGCCTTAAGTTATTCATAAAAATACGAGTCCTATAACAACAGTTGAGGAAGGAAGGGACGGAGGGAGGGAGAAGAAAATGGAAGGAAGGAACAGAGAGAGAAAGAAGGAAGGAAGGACAGGAGGAAAGAAGGAAAGAAAGGAAGGAAGGAGGGAGAAAGAAGGAAGAGAGAAAGAAAAAGAAAAGGAAGAAAGAAAAAAGACAAAAAAAGAAAAGGAAGGAAGGAAGGAAGGAAGGAAGGAAGGAAGGAAGGAAGGAAGGAAGACAATGGCTCCCACATCAAAGCTCTTACACCAAAGTTCCAGGAAGGAAGAGAGACAGGTGAAGCTCATAATTCTGGGGCTTCACACACCTTTTTCAAAGTAATGATCCCATCCTGTCCCAACATGTCCGTGTGAATGGCAAAGGCCTCGCCTCCATCTCCTCCATCCAGGATGCTGTAGGCAAGGAGGGCGTTCTCCCCTTCATCAGGATCGTGTGCACGCAGCCTCCCTACTGCGGACCCAGGAGGTGCTGTTTCCACCACGGAAAACTGGTAGGAACCTAGAGAGAAATGGGGTTGAAAGACAAGCAAGTTTCTACAGCCTTTGGAACTTGGCCTCCTCCAGGTGCATTGGACTACAAGTCCCATCCTACTCAGGCACAATGTCAGCCATAAACCAGACAGGAAACACAAATGGATGAGCTAATTCTACATTATTGCAAGAATCTTAATTCTTGCAATAGAATCTTGCAGGTCTGAAAGTACAAGTCTCGCGCTGTCTGTTTTAGAGCCTGAGGAACTAAGGAAGGTTTGTTTTGAGTCCC